GAAAATTGCAGGTTAATGTTTCAATGAGCATAGATATAAAAATCCTCAACAAAATACCAGCAGTGAATTCAACAGCACAGTTTCCTTCACTGTGATCAAGTGAGAGTCATCTCTGGGATGCAAGGATAGTTCAATGATAAATAAATCAATAAATATAATCTACTATAGAGTGATGGATATAAAAATCATATAACCATCTCCATAGAACCAGAAATTTTTTATAAAATTCAGTGTCTTTCTGTGATTAAAGCCTTTCAACAGATTAGGTTGAGAATACACCTGGACCTAATAAAGGCCACAGATGACAAGATCACAGCCAACATTATATGCAAATGTCAAAAGTTGGAAGCATTTCCTGTAAGAGGCAACAAGAATATCCCCTCTATTTCTATTCAGTATCATATTGGAAGTATCAGTTACAACAATCATAATGAGAGTATGTTTTGTATGTAGCCAAAGACTAGAAGAAAGGTTAGCCTCATAAAGAACTGATGATGTTTGAGGAGAGGTATACTAAGCCTGATTTCAACACTATAAAATGCTTATGTGTATCAAAACATCATATTGTACCCCATAAATATATATATATTTTATGCTTTATGTATCTAAATTTTAAAAAGAATAGTGTTCTGGGGCTGGAGGGATGGCTCAGCAGTTAAGAACACTGGTTGTTCTTGCAGAAGACCAGGTTCGAATCCCAGCACCCAGCACCCACATGGCAGGTAACAACTGTCCATAACTCCAGTCCCAGGGCATTCAACAGATATAGTGAGTTCTAGGCCAGCTGGGGCTACAGGGAGACCCTGTCTCACAATACATGCATACACATAAAATAAAAATAATAAATAAAAAAAATTTTTTTAAAAAGTTAAGAAAAAAAAAAAAAGAATAGTGTTCTGAAAATAACTTTATGGTGGCGGACACCTTTAATCCCAGCACTCAGGAGGTGGAGGCAGGCGGATCTCTGTGAGTTCAAGGCCAGCATGGTCTACATTGTGAGTTCTAGGACAGCTGGGGCTACACAGGGAGACCCTGTCTCAAAAAAGATAAAAAAAAAAAAAACAACAAAAAAAACAACTTAGCTAAGTTTATTAAGGAAGTAAATGATTTGTATGCTGAGAACTACAAAAGAAACTGGATATAAATAAATGGAAAGAAATGCTGTGTACAGGGACTGGAAGAATAAATACTGTTGAAGTGTTTATATTATGCAAATAAGCTACAGATTCCACTACTAAAGTTCGATTGACAGAACTGGGAACTGAGGCAGCAGGACTGGGAGTTTGAGGCTAGCCAAGGCTACAGAGAAAGATCCTGATCTTGAATTACTCCCCCCCAAAAAAACCAAAAAAAATTTCCGATATAATTTCTGATGGTATTTTTCCAGGAAATGGCGAAAAAAGTTCTAAAATTTATATGAAAGCCTCAAAGACTGTGGGTCACCAAAGGAATCTTGAATAAAAAAGATAAAGGCAGGGAGGGGAGGGGGGATTACATTATGTGATTTCACACACAATATGCTATAAAGTGACAGCAATCAAACAGCATGATACTGGCATGAAAACAGATACTGGTACAGAACATTCTATACATAAAAGTCATCTTCTTCAATAAAAGGTGCTGGGATAATTGGTTATCTACATGAAGAAGAATTTGTCCTTTTTTTTTTTTTGAGACAGGATCTCCGTATGGTCCTGGCTAGCCTGGAAATCACTATGTGGACCAGAGATCTCCCTGCCTCTGCCTCCCGAGAGCTAGGATTAAAGGTGTGTGCCACCTTGCTAGCTACAGTGAATTTTTGTAGATAATATGACATCAGAATTCAAATTCTTTTGGGGCTGGGTGTGGTGGCACGTGTCTTTAATCCTTGGACCTGGGGGGTAGAGACAGATGGATCTTTGTGAGATCCAGGCCAGCCTGGTCTAGTAGTGAGTTCTAGGCCAGCTGGGGCTGCAGGGAAACCCTGTCTCAAAAAAACAAAAACCAAACCAAAACAAAATATGTTAAGACTAGAAACTATAAAAATACAAGCAGAAAACAAAGGGAAAAGTTTCTTGGCATGGGTGTATGTGGTAACTTTTTGGACAAGACCCTAAGAGCACAAGCAACAAAAAGCAAAAATGGGGGGCTAGTTCAGTGGTTAAAGGCACTGGCTTCTCTTGCAGAAGACTTGAGTTTGGTTCTCAGCACCCAAATGGTAACTAACAACCATCCTTAGTTCTAGTTCCAGCGGATCCAACCCCCTTTTCTGGCCTTCTTGGGCACTGTACAACAATTTACATACATGCGGGCAAAACTCACACAGATAAAATAAAAATAAGCATTTTTTTTTTTTTTTGTCTTTTTGAGACAGAGTCTCCCTGTAGTCCCATATGACCTGAACTCACTATTTAGATCAGGCTGGCCTTGAACTCATAGGGCGTTGAGCCATCATGCCTGGCTGTAAATTTTTTTTTTTTTATAAAAGAAGAAATGGACAAATGGGATTGCATCAAACTAAAATGCTTCTGCAAAGTAAAGGAAATAATAAAAAAAAAGGTAGCCTACAGAAGAGGAGAAAATACCTGTAAACTACATCTGACAAGTAGTTATACTCAAACAACTGTATAGCAAGAAAACAAATGACTCAATTTAAAAATGGGCAAAGAACATTAACAGTCATTCTCCAAAGATGTCAAATAGCCAAGAAATATTTGAAAAAGTGTTCAACATCACTAATGTTCAGGGAAATGTAAATGAAAACCACATGGAGGTATGACCTCATACTTGTTAGAATGGCTATTATCAAAAATGTAAACAATAACAAGTATTGGTAAGGACGTGGAGAAAAGGGGACCTTGGACTCTGCTGGTAGAAATGTATTGTAATTGGTGCCATCACAATACAGAACAGTATAGCAGTTCTCCTGAATTTAAAAACAGAACTCCCAGCAATCTGACTTCCTTATACTTAGCTATATTTAGCTAGAGGAAATAAAATCAGAATCTCAAAGAGATGTTTACATTCTACATTCACTACAGCATAATCCGTAACAGCCGAGATACAGGACCAATCCATGGATCTTTTGATGGGTGAATGGATAAAGAAGATGTGGTATATGCATAGTGGAGATCCTGCCATTTGCAAGCACATGGATGAATCTGGGAGACAGTATACTAAGTAAAATAAGCTAGGCATGAAAGACAAATACCACATGAAGTCATTTATATGTGGAATCTCAAAGGAAGCTGAACTCATAAATGCAGATATGAGAGCAGGGGCTTCCAGGGACTAGGAGAGAAGAGGTGAAGGGGTGATGTTGGTTACAAGGTTCAAAAGTTTCAGGTATGCAGGACAAGTTCATTCAGCAAAGCTAATGAACAGCACAGAGAGGATGGTCTATAAACTGTGTTACATGCTTGAAACCTGCTGAGAGAGTAGCTCCTAACCATAACATCATACATGCAATAAAAAGGTAACTGTGAGTTAATGGATGTGTACATTAGCCTGATTGTGCTCATGCATTTTACAACGTATACACACAGCAACATATCACTCTGTACCTTATAAATATGTGCATTTTACCTACATGCAGGCAATACATGCCTGCACATATTAAAAAATATGTGCCATTTTAATTTATCAGTTATATCTCAATAAAGCTGAGGAACAAATAAATGACTGTCAGGCAATCGGTGAGTATTCATAAAGCAGTATGAAAGCTTCTATTCTCAAAAAAGCTCAGAATATGCATAATGGCAAACACTATGCTTTGTGTATTCTGCTAAAAGTTTCAGGCAAACTACTAGTGGAATGAAGAAGAGTCATTAATTCATTAATGGGCAGTGAGGAGGGCTAGGTTTCTACTGATCTAATTAATCAGTGTTTGGGGAGACAAGCATGACTTCTGCGGGAACACTGGGAGGCCAAGAGGTAGGCATATGCAGGGTATGTAGGGACCAGAGAGGGTTACAGCAAGCACATGCCAGCAATGAAATGGCAGGAACGATGGACAGGCAGAGAGCCTGGAGCGAGTCTTCTTCTACTAGGCTAGACGTGGACTTCACTCACAGGCAAAGAGGAGCCATGATGAGGTGAAGGGAGAGGCAGGTGAGCCTGAAGGTGGTAAGGCAAATGAAGAGGCCACTGCACCTGCCTTGGGTGAAGGTGAGGTGTGCAGGTGCAGGGCAAGGCCAAGGCGGAGGGACAGGAAAAGGGTCAAGGAGATAGAAGTAGACCTAGTAACTGATGGCTACCAAAGGGGGAGAGAGAGGTGGGGTGGTATAGGCACTCCATCTCATACATGAGCTCCCCAACAATGAAAACAATGCAGGCTAGAAAAGCAGACTGGATGGAGCAGGTGCGCTGAGGATGCTGGGAACTACCAGCTCACCACTGCTGTAGGGAAACTAATTCTCTCTCAAATTCTGTTCAGAGCCAGATACAAAGTTTCTTTATTCCTTTTCTCCTGAGACCAGACCTGTTACTCCTGTTTCTAGCTCCCAGTGTCTCTCAGAAGGACCCACCCTGCTTTCCCAGACACCAGCCAGCCACCACCCACTGTTACAGCGCCAGGCTGAGCAGAAGAGAGGCCAGGGCTCTCTTGCTGTTCTGACAGCACCTTGCAGTGTTACGAACCTCGGCTGCTCTTTGGCTGGCAGAACGTCTAAGACCTTGTCCCTGCCATGCAGAGCCCCTAACTAATCACCAGTACATTGGTCCATTCTGTTTACTAAACTGCTGCTTTTATTCAGTGCAGTTTAGTAAAACGAACGGTTAATCCTCCACTTTGTTCTTTAAAACACACACAAAAAAATCCATCGTATGTTGACCTTTCCATATAGTTTCCATCTCACACATTCTAAGTAGATTTCATTGTTCGAATTTCCAAGCCTTCCATCTTCTCCTATGGACCTTAATTAACTTAGTATGAGGCCTCATTATTCAAAGGCCTGGCACTGGTGAGAGCTGGGCAGCCTGGCTGCTTTTCTGCACATAAAGGATGGAAGGTGTCAACAAACCTCATTCTTGTTCTTCGCAGTGGCATCACACTTGCTGTTCTCTGGCTTCCGCAGGTGTTCCCACTTTCCTCCCTGGTCAAAAGTGATCATGCTCTGAATAGAATTATCTGAACGGGAAAAGAATGAGCGTAAGGCTGATACATGGAAGGCTCCCAAATGAAGTCAGTTTACCAAAACATAACTTCCTGAGATCACAGAACACCATCTATCTCCTTAAGTTTGCATACAAGTATACACTGTGTGTAGACCTTATTTTCCCTCATACCCTCCCTTACTCTGCCTTTACCCACAAGCTTTTAACACCTTACAAAACAGCTCAGTATTAGTGAATAACTGAGTGGCACTTTAAACATGAGATCCAAAGAAGGCTTGCTACCTGGACAGGACCCTTAGTTAACTCCAAAAATCATCTGGAGCTGATACTATTGAAAAAAGATACCTGTTGTGCTATAGTTTGGATCTTAAATTCCCTTCTTCCTCCTACTGCTCAGGCGTTAAAACTTTGGTCACCAGTCTGTGTGAGGCCTAGTCAGGGGAAAGTTAGGTCACTGAGGTTGTGTCCTTGAAGGGGGTATTGGGATTTTAGTCCCCTCCTCTTCCTATTTCTGAGGTAAGGGGCTTCATCTGCTGTTCATATCTACTATGTGTGGTGCCACGGAGCTAAGAACAATGAGGATAACCAGCCACAGACTGAAACTTCTAAAACTGTGAGCCAAAGCAAACTTTCTTTCTGTAAACTATCTCAAGTTTTCTACTAGAGAAACAGAAATCTCTTTGTAACTTCTGTTCAATGTGAATAGGCTGATGTCCATTCTCCTTTGCTGTTAGATGCCATGGAGGGAAATCTACCATGGGAAGGAATCCTAATTTTTATTCAGTCAAGGCCATGACACCAGGCTTATTTTAGGAACTATTAGGATTTAGATACGTATACTTAATCCCAGATTCATAACTCCTAATTACTGTCTTTCCAGTATCCCATATCCTCTCCCTCTGTTTTCTTTCTAAAAATTTAAGATTACATATATATTTGTATGCGCCTGGTGGGGAGCATGTACATGCCAGAGTGTGCATTTGAAAACAAGGGGACAACTTGTGGGAGACAGTTCTCTCCTTCTTTCAGGTGGGTCCCCAGGATCAAACTCATGTCATCAGGCTTGATGGCAAGCACTTCTGCCTGCTGAGCTATCTTGCTGGCCTTTTTTCTTTTTAGCCTAATGACTCCTCCATATGGTCTATTTTCAATGATATAAACCATTGTAAGTTTAAATTCAGAGATAATATGCTTAGAAGTTTCCAAGAAACATCAAAGAAGACAAATCAAGGAAAACTGACTTATTCAAAAAACATGTCTAAACTATTATAAGTCTCTGGGAATATATCAGTGAACAAAACAGACAGAAAACTGTGAGGGGCTGGTGAGATGGTTCAGTGGGTAAAAGCACTTGTAGTGCGAATGTGATGCCCGGAGTTTAATTCCCAGAACTCATAGTGGAAGAAGGGAACTGATTCCTGAAAGTTGTCCTCTGACCTTCACATGTGCACTGTGCATTGCCTGTGCATGCATTTGTACACACACACACACACACACACACACACCACACACACAATAATAATAAAATAATAATAGCAACGATAATAATCACTGTTGTCAAATATACATTCCAGGTGGAGAAACATTTCTACAATATGTTACAAAATAAGTGCCATGAAAAAAAAAAAATCACTTGTGCTTCTAAAAGTAGACTGAAGTGTGTGTGAGGAGGGGGAAAGTTTGAATTTAAAATAGGACAATCAGGGCAGTTCTCATTCAGAAAGTAGCAAAGAAGCAAAAAGAGCCTGAAGGAGGAAGTGCTCAGCCTGGCAGACATCTGAGGAAATGAAACTGCCAGGCAGGTCTGTAATGAATGAATGTGTGTAACTGGTATGTTTGAGGACTGGCAGGGAGACAGTACAAGCGCCACAGAGCGAATGGAAAAGAAAAGAGCTGGAGGTGAGGCAGGGAGGAAGAGGGAGCCAGCAGTCATTTAGGATCGCATAGGTCATCACAAGCAATTGACAAAAGCAAAACAGCCCCCATCCCCTATCTGAAATATAAACACACAAAAAAATTCAAGGGTCTCTTGTCCTCAAAGAGTATCGTGCTTCCTTGTATAGCTGAGTCTTAGCAAATGGAAGCCCTGAAGAGTCACAAAGCAGAAAGAACACTGGAAGAATTGTGGATGATCTCTTGTTACATTCTCTACAAGGAAAACAGACATGATTCCGGTTCAGGTCCATTCCTATAGACCCAAATCTCTAAATACAGAGACCCTTGTTATCTGCTACACATTAGGGATTCCAAAGCCTCTTTCTTCCTACCTACTGTTGCTCTGCTCTGTCCTAGTTCTGTTTGGCATAACATATTTACATAAGGGAGTCAAAATGTAGGCTCGTTGACTCAGCAAGCACGTGACTAGGGGACAGGATGTTCAGGTTCCCCTGAAAACCTCAGATCCTAACCCATTGAGCTGAAGGGGCGAGAGCTACACCAGGTCTCACCTTCAGAGAGCATGCTTGTTATGTAGACTCCCCGGAGAGAGGTCACGTTGGTAAAGTCAGTCTCTCCACCTGTGGTAGTGTAGAGATGCCTGTCCAGAGACTTGGAGTAGACAATGCCTCGATCATCAGAGGTAAAGATTGTGCCAAATCCGGTATCTTAAATGGGAAAACAAACAAAAACACGTAAGTCTTAGAAGGGATCAGAGGGGGGAAAAAACCTGCCTGGCCTAGCACATTTGTTGACTGTCTCAAAGTGAGACAAATCTGAGTGCTCATCAAAGTTCATACTCAAAGTCTTCAGGTTCATCTTTAATTCTAGCACTCAGCTTAGTGACTGCAGGATGGGAGGTGCTGAATTTGTTGTGAATAATCAGAAAAGCTCTTTTCAGGTATATTTTGTTGACACAGGATTTAGATTTATATTTTATACATGTCTAAATCTTTATATTTTAGAATGCATCTTCTCAAACTATCTTTGGTGAAGAATCTTTATTTTTAATTTCTAGTATGTCACAAACTGATTCTTTTATGTAAGTATAAAAGAATCACTAGAAAAATAAAATAGAAAACAGATAAAATATTAGCCCCCAATTTTTCATCCTTATATTCAAAAGACATAAAACTGCTTCGACCAAATGGCTCTGAGTTTTTAAGCTGGGCATGGTGGCACATGCCTGGAATCCCAGCACTCAGGAGGTTAAGGCAGGAGCATCATGAGTTTGAGGCCAGCCTGGGTTATAGAGAATGAGATCCTGTCTTAATAAAACATAAAACAAACAAAGATAGTTCTAAATGTTTCCTGTACTTACCTGGTTATAGAGAGCTTGCAACTCAATCCCAGTGAACAGACTGCCCTCCGAGATGCTCTGCTCTAGAGTGCTTAGACTCATGCACACACAGACTACAGCAGACTACCAGAACAAGTGGCCTTTTATTTAAGAGGCAACAAACATATCATTGCTAGGACAGTGTAATTAGTAGGATATTAATAAACTTCTTAGAATGAGAGGAAACTTTGACATGTGCAAAGGAAAGCTACTTTGAGTAGAAGTCAAAGCTTAAATGTCTATGCATTCAAAGATGGGCCACTAAAAAGCTCTCACCTCCAGGTTCATCCACATGCATGAATACCATGTCGTCATTGGCTGCCAGAATAGAATAAAATTGCTCCTGGCCCACGGACGGGAGCTGGGCCATACTCCATGTGTCCCCTTGATCTGTTGACACATGGATCCTTCTTGTTGTGTCCTAGAATAAATACACCAATATCTGTATTTTTAATCTTCTGACAAGATAAAAATGAATAGGAACATTTTTAATGTTTGTTAATCATTTCCCCAGTGGGGATAATTGCAATGAAAACCCAGTACCAATCACCAAAGCAGTTTCTAACCCCGTCCAGGCAATGGGACAGTTCACTCTATCATGGCTTTCTGTTTGGCTCCTTTATTCTGGTATGGTCCTCCCAATCTCTGACAGTCCATCTCCTTCAACAGAGCTAAGGATGTGACTAGACAATCATTAGCTTGGCTTTATAGCCATTTGCATATAATTGCTTAAAATCCTTACAATGATGATTGCTATTTAAACATCTGGGCTCTTTGAGATGATCTTTAGATGATTAAGATGATTAAGAATCTAAAGAATTAGATAATTGATGGTCTAGAAGATGGAGATGAAACCCAAACTGGGAGAGCACAGGGAAATCAAGATGTGACACGCCTTTAAGAAATTCCCTCTAATAGCCATAATGCAGGGAACATACATGGGCCAAGAAGAGGCCAAAGTTAGTCTGAAGTTTCTGTAAGGATATTGTTTGGCAGGTAAAGGGTCTTTAAGAAGGCCATTAAGGGGCTGGAGAGATGGCTCAGCTGTTAAGAGCACTGACTGCTCTTGCAGAGGAGCCGGGTTTGATTCCCAGCACCCACATGGTAGCTATGAACCGTCCTTAACTCCAGTTCCAGGGGAATCCAAAGCCCAAGGGGTGCAAAGGGCTGCAGAGTTGATTCAGTGGCTAAAAGCACTGGCTGCTCTTGCAGAGGACCCAGGTTTGATTCCCAGTACCCACATGGCAGCTAAGAACCATCTTTAACTCCAGTTCCAGGGGAATCCGACGCCCTCTTCTAACCTCCACAGCATTGCACGACACAGGTGCACTCACATACATGCAGGCAATACACTCATACACATAAAATTAAAATAATAAATATTTTTTTTTTAAAAGAAGGCAATTAAACTACTCTCTGATAAATTACTTAAAATGGCTACTAGAGATCTGCAGATGTAGTTCAGTGGTAGAGCACTTGCCTGGTGTATGTGAAGCTCTGGGTTCAAACCGCAGCACTGGGAGGGTGGGGGTAAGGAAGCCTATTAAGCAGAGTTAGCTAGGTTTTTTGCTTTTGGGTTTCCTTAGGTTAAATATTAGTTTAGTTTTAAGTGCAGTTAGTTATGTTAACTTATTAACTTATACTGAAATGTCTATTTACTCTGAATCTTAATTCTCACTGTTATAAGTATAGAGTTCAAAAGTACATATCAGAATTTTGTATAGATAGTGGAATGTAACAGTCTGATTTCCACCAAAGTCCTACTACTTACTGCATGACTCTAGGCCAATTGCTCAACTTCTTCACACGTAAAATTGAGGTAATAGTATTAGCTCATAAAGTTGTTAGGAAGAACATCACGAAGTTGCTCAAGTTTCCTGTACTTACCTTAGCTACTTCCCCCCTCCAGGTCTTGTATCCAACCTCACCTCTAATGAAACTGCTTTTATCAGTCACTAACAACCCACTTTGCCAGCCTCAGTGGCTAATTCAAGTCCGTTTAGTTCACCATCTCACTTGAGTTTAGTAAACCAACTGCTGCAGCCTCCTGAAACACTTTCTTACTTGGTTTTCATGACAGCATGGTGTCCTGGGTTCCCCTGCCTCACATTCCTCCCACCCAGGCTTCTCTGCTGTCTGCCTCTCTTCTTTGCAACCTCCAGTGGAGAGGTGCTGCAGGGCCTGCTCAACCTCCGTGTCTTTTCTACCTACTCACTCCTCAGAAGAAAGCATCTAGTCACATGGCTTTAAATACCATGTAATTTGGGGAGATTTATATACTCAAATGCTTACTTGACATTTCCTCTTAGATATATAATAGGCATCTCATATCCAACACTGAATTGCTGATTTTTCTCCCACAAACCCACTCCTCCCACAGCCTGAGCTACCTCAGAACACGGCACTGCTATTTATCCAGTTGCTCAGGCCAAAAGCACTAAAGTTTCTCATAGTCTCACTTTCTTATCTCACAAGGTACACCTAAGACATCAGCCAGTCCAATTGGCAATATATTTAAAAATATCTGCACAATCACCACTTCTCCCCTCCCCACTATTGTAGCCTGGTCCCAGCTACCTGCTGTCTTGCCTACTGTGACAGCAGCTGCTCCTCTTGCTCCTCTATTCTGGCCTCCTCTTAGGCTGCTCTGTGCACACCTATTCTGCCACCGAGGAGGCCAAATCATAATATAGTCCATCTGACGTTTCCCATGGTGAATAAAAGACCCCCAGATCAGGCTTCCTGCTCCCCTGTGGTCCACTCGCGAGCACTCTCCCCAGTGCTCTAGTCACACTGCCACTCTCCCCTTATCCTCAGTAGGTTGAGCTGACTCCTCACCTACTCTCCTCCCAGATGCTCACAAGACACTCTCCTCAGGTCATTCAGATCTCCAGGATCCCACCCAAACGCACTGTATATAATAGCATTGCCTGGTTCCTGGTGCTCTCCGTCCGCTACACTGCTTTAGACTGCTTCATTGCTTTAATTATTACTGGATAGGCTTATTTGCTTGGCATCTATTTTCCCACTTGAATACAAACTCAGAGAGCAGGAAGTTTATTTGTTCACCTGTCTTATAGGGGGCCTAGACTAGTGCCCAGTATGTAAATATAGATGCTCAAATG